TCCTTTTTCCTATCTGTAGACTCACCTAGTAAAGTCAGTTTAAGGGCCAGTATTATCTACTGGAATGCTTCTGTTGAAGGAATGCATTTGAAATTAATCCGTAGAGGAATAACATGGAGAACCATTTTAAGATGATGAAGTTCTTTGTGTTTTTAAGAAAATTCAGTGGGGCTGAACTGATGACTCAGTGGTTAATCTCAGCACTTGGGAGGTAGAGGCAGGCAGATCCACAAAGTGAGCTCCTGGAAAGCCAGGACTGTTATACAGAGAAACCCTATCTCAAAAAAAACCTTAAAAAAAAAAGAACCACCATATCTACCTTAAATGTATGTTTTTTTATTTATACTTTCAACTGGAACATTGGGTCTATTGGGACATAACTCTATTGTAAATTATGGGGCACCTGTATCTAGAAGTTAGCTCTCTGAGGAATGAACTACTCTTTAGTGTGTCCTTTCACATTGGAATGTGGCATTTTTTCCCTGTTTGGTCTATTATGGAAGAAGATGAGCTTCTTTTCACAGAATTGTAAGCCATTGTATTGCTTTTCCTAATACCACCTAAAATTATAACTGTAGTCTATTATTCTATCTTGGGTTAATAGGTGCTTGTTTTTTCCTCTTTGTTGGTTTATAAGAGTTTCTTTTGTGAATTAAGGTCATTCAACAAGTACCAGTCACATGCCTGTAGATATTTTGTTAACAGTTTTAATTATGGTATTTTATTTTTTGCATGAAAAATGTATTTTTGTTTTGTTTTGTCTTTATCTTTTTCAGTGCTAAGAAAACTAGTTTTTAATGGATTTTATTTTAAGGTAAGGCCTCGTAGTGTTGCCAGACTGGACTCAACCTTGGGATCGTCCTTCCTGCCTCTACTTCACAAGTAGATAGGATACACATGCCCAACACTCCAGCAAAAGCAAAAGTTTGCTTCTAATGTATCCATTTATTAATTTTTGGTTGTGATTTTAATTTTTTGAATATTACTGATGTGTGTGTGTGTGTGTGTGTGTGTGTGTGTGTGTGCTCTATCTGCATGTATGTCTTTATGCCAGAAGAGGGCGCCAGATCTCATTACAGGTGGTTGTGAGCCACCATGCAGTTTCTGGCAATTGAACTCAGGACCTCTGGAAGAGCAGTCAGTGCTCCTAAACTCTGAGCCATCTCTCCAGTCCCCCAGATTCCTGAATGTTATTTTTTATTTGGGTCTGTACAAGACCACAGCCACCATCTTAGCAGGGATGACACTTACAGTACTGTTGGCGGGTTCTGTCAGTGTGGAAATGGAGATCCATATGTTCATTCAGTTTGGAGATGGAACCTGCACCTCTCCTCTCTTTGCTTCTCTGACTTAACTTTGCCCCCTGGACACAGAGTGAGAGCCCTAGACCAGATTCTTAGTGAACTCAACTCAGCCTATTCTTAGGTATGTGTTTTAAAAAGGGTCCCTTAAAAATGGCATTTGCCAGTGTTTGGGTTATGGTATCTCTCAAATGAAAACTAAGCAGGGCCCATACCAAGATTTAAAATTTCACTGTTTTCTCTGAATTTCAGAGTTCAGAGTTCCTTCCTGGATTTAATTTTACTATAAGTTTCGAGATATGGACTCTTATTTTTTTCTCTTTTTCCTTGTATACGTTTCCCAAGGAGGTTTATTGAACAATTATTCTTCCCTCCTGAGCTCTAATTCTGGATTTATTCTAAACTATATTTTGATGGATATTTGTTTTCCTAGACTCTGTTCTAGTGAACTGTTTCACTGCTAGATACATTATAGCTACAACAAAGTAATTTCATAGTATTTATAAAGACTTGCCATTACGCATCATATAGCGTTTGTTTTAACTACAGAATCGTCTACAGAGAAAATTGTATTCTGTCATTCTGATGCCTTTGCTAAGCAAAACTGATAATAGCTTCCTAAGGACGGTACATGATTTCTTCTTTACAGTTATATACTTAGAAAGGATGCTGTGAAAATTAAATGTTATGTATGGAATATCCCTACAGCAGTGCCTGGCCCTGCTATATAGAAATGTGAATGTAAATATTATAAAATTGATGCTACTATTACTTCTTTACAAATGCGTACATACATATATACATGTAATGTTTAGGAGGTTTGCATTGATTTTTCAAGTAAGATACTTTTTGCACTCTACTTTGTAATATGTGTTCTTAATTGTTGCTGTCATAATCTATCTCATCCACAGACTTTAACATTATACATAGAAAGCATTTAACAAACGTTCTCTATGATGTTATGAGCAGAGGGGTAATTCTTTACTCAGAAAGGGCATATGCAAATAACTTATAGTTAGCATAATTGATGGTGAAGATTCATTTCTGTCTCCTGTTATTGCTGCTACTGAATATTACACTAGATACTCTAAGTTACTGTAACTAGGCAGAAAGTAGAGTGAAATTCTCCTTAAATTCCCAGCAAGGTTGTTTTGTTTGTTTGTTTGGCTGGTTGGTTCGAGGGTATTGGTAACAGTCTACCTTTGTAACCCAGGCTGGCTGCTGACTCAAAATGCCACACCAGTCCCAAGTCCTGGGGTGACAGGCATGTGTTACAATGTCTGGCCCATCAAGCTGGGTTTTTTGTTTGTTTGTTTTGGTGAACTTAGATAAACTGACTCTATAGCTTTTATGGGAAAGCACAAGGCTTCACTAAAGCTATTTTGAAAAAAGAAGAAGCAAGTGAGGGGATGAATGCTCCCAGTGTTCTTATTCTGTAGCTGTAAAGATCAGAAAAGTGTGGGAACGGGATGGAGCGGAAGCAGGAATAGACCGCAAAAGTACTTCCAACTTTTTAAAAGATGCGAAAAGCTATTCAATAGAGACAGGCTAAACTTCTCAACAAACGGTGCTAGAGCAGTTTACATCTGAAGTATAAAATACATCCTGTTTTTGTCCACAGCTACTGGCATAGAGCTATATCCTGGGGTTTCTTGATAAGAGTGTCATTTGTTCATAAGGAACCCCTTTCAATCACACTTTATGTTGATAGAAGACTCAGGATAGGGCCCCCAGATTGCATCAGTGAAGGGCCCAGTCATCGGAGTATTACCAGATGAAAACTTGCAGCCCCTTCGGCTTAAAAACAGAAACACACAAAACTCCCCTTGGTTTGGCAAGTGTATGTATGCTAGTAGGGTGGTCCGCCATTTTCCACTCTCCCACTCAAACGTCACCCACCATATTGATTTCATTGCACTGTTCCTGATTTTGTCTTTCACAGTAAACCAGTCAACAGAGGCAAAGTGTGTTTCTGTGTTCTGTGAACTGTTCTGGCAGATTGAGGGACGGGGGCATAGTCAGCCTAGCAGAGTGTGAGTATTGGCATCTAAGGTGAAACCAAGTCCTTGACTTGTTCAGTTGCGTTAGTGGTGAGTAGTGTCAGAACTGGATTGGAAAATGGATACCTAGTTAGCTTTGGAAAATTGTTTGGTGTTGGGAAGGTGTGCAGTCATAAGATCCCAACATCCATGTTGGGGGGGGGTGGAGATGAACTTCAATATAAACTTCACAATATACAAACATAACTCAAATGGGCTTGATTAAATATAACAGGTACAACTATAAAACTTTAGGAAAAATATAGGACCAAACATTCAGGGCTTAGAACTCAGCATAAAGTTGTTAAACTTGACCCTAAGAACATGGTCCATACAAGGATACATTCATGAATTATACATTTAATTTCAAATTCTTTTGTAAATGCCCGGTAAAGATCATAAAAAGCAATATACTGGAGGAAGGGTTTGAAAACCGTATCTGACAGCCTATAGGTAAAAATATATAAAGATCTCTTGAAACTCTACATTCATTTAAAAAACTAGAAAATTGGTGAGACACATAACAGACGTTTAAGAGGATACATAGATGGCAAATAACTATTAAAATATGTATGCTCAACATTCTTGGTTATCACGGAAATGGAAAGAATCTAAACCACAATATTATCAACATACTCAGAACAGCTAAAAGGCTGGTAACCACCAAATACTGGCCAGATTGTGGAAAAATGGATTCATACATCTACACCGGTGGTGGGAGTATAAAATGGCAAAGCTATAGGAAAGGGTATGGCAGTTTTTCATTGGTTTAGTTTTTAACATTAAGCACATGCTTACCTTATGACACAGCAACTGAATCTTCCTTCAAAAGTGTGTGATGGTCACACAAAAACCTGAACATGAATTTTATAGCATTTAAAAAAATATCAAAAGTTTGGAAGCAAGCCCAATGCCCAACTGCTGAGTTTAAACTTGTATATTTTTTAATTCTACGCATAACGAGGAACAAACTATTCATACATATTAATGGATCTCAAAGGAATTACGTACAGTGAAAGAGTATGTCAAAAGGCCGTGCACTATAGGTTTACCTTTATACGAAACCTCTAGGGACAGATATGCTCCGAGGGACACATCAGGGGTCGCAGGTGGTCCAGGGTGTGATTGTCAAGACGGAGGCTGAGACCGTTCTGATCGTGGGATCCAGAATGGGACAGAAAGTGTTTTTATGCCTGTAAATAAGGAATGAAAACTATTCGGTGATGAGCTGCCCATACTGGGTGTGTGCCCTGGTCTCTTGACCGTTCAGTGTCTCGGGTCTCCATTTGTGCTGGGTCCCCATTTTTGTGTCTGAAGGTCTCATCTCAGTCTCTCTGCGTCTCATCTCTGGACTTGTAGCCTCCGTCTCGCGTTTTTCTGTTTCCAAAAACCGGTATTTTCCGGTCTTTGCCTCCGCCTCTCAGGTTCTGGCGGTCCTAGGCTCTTTTTTTTTTTTTTTTTTTTTTTTTTAGGTTGCCGTTTGTTTACTCCGTTGCCATGGCATCGGAAGTGACGTAGGCGCACGTGGCTCGAAGCGGAGCCAGCGTTCCCTCCGATTGACTGGCGATGCTGTCAGAGCCGCTTCGCCCCGCCCAGGACTGGCGAACGCGGGGTGGGGGGACCCTCGGCATACTGGGGGGAAGGGGGGGTGTCGCGATTTCCGGCGCTGCAGACCGCTGCGGTGGTCGCCATCGGCGCTCAGTGTTCGAGACTGCAGGATCCCGTGCGGGCAACGCTGCGCAGCAGGTGTCCCGGGCGTCCCGGGCGCTCTCCTACTTGGGGAGGTAGGCATTCGGCGGGTGTAGAAGAGGGTCGTGCCCGAGGGGATGCCTGCCTGGTGTGGGCTGGGCCACGGACGACCTTGGGGTCGCACCCTGGGAGTGCGGTCCCAGGTGCTGTGTCCTGGAGGGGACTGAAGCGCCAAGACCCTTGCGTGGGGATGCGACCTCCGCCTGGTGGGCTTGAATTTGGGGCTGGGATGGTAGGACTGGTGGCTCCCACGCGTGCAGCTGTGAAGGAGGCTTTTGGGTGGGTGGGTGGGTGGGTGGGGGTGTGGCCCCGGAACGCTGTAGGCGAATGTAGTGTGCGTGTGTGTGTGTGTGTGTGTGTGTGTGTGTGTGTGTGTGTGTGTGTGTGTGTGTGTGTGATGGAGCTGCATCGGGGGTGTGGCCCTGATGTGTGGCGTTGGGAGTGCCGTGTGTGGGATTGTGCCTCGGGAATGCGCTACGCTAGTGCTGTGTCGGGAAGGGAGATCTGGGGGACACGTGGGATGGGCTGCGCTCTCGGGGTGTGATTTTTCTGTTTGCGGCGGACAGAGGCCGCAGTGCCACTGATTCTGAGATGGAGATTGGGGAAGAGTCCATGGGACCCTTCAGGGTGGGTGACTGAGGAAGCGAGCGGGACATTAGGAGAGAGTGGGTGGAGGCCACTAAGTGCAGGTTCTCACGGGGGTGGGGGGTGGGAAGTTCATGGGGGGAGGATGAGTATGTACAAAGGCCGGGGTAGGGCTTGGGGACCCCTGTTTTTGTTCCCTCCTGGAGAGGCAGGGTTGAAGGTATCCTTAGGGAAATGGGGCGGGAGGAGTCTGGGAAAGTGTGTGTGGAGTGGAGGCTTCTGGGAGAGTCCATTAGACTGACGGGTAGCTCGGGGCTTCAGAGTGCAGGGGGTCCTCTTTGTTATGGGGGCAGAGGATACTTTTGGACCTCTGCCTAGGGACCCGGTTCACAGCACAGAGGTGTCTCTTAGGTGCTGTCCCGACCTGGAGGGTTTCCGGAGGAGTAGAAAACATTAGTTTTCCTAGTGCTACCCTATGAAGGGGCTGGTAAGGGGTGCTGAGGGTTGGCTTTTACACAGGGCAGTTCCAAGGTCATAGAAATCCTTCCTACCCCGTGGCGAGTCTACCTGTTAGTGTTTTGTCCCTTTTCCTTGCCTCTTCCTTATCACTCCACCACTGACTGCTTCCATGCCCAGTCCTCTCCTCTTAGACCTGCCTCCCTTACGTTGGTTTTAATTGCATTTTGGCGGCCGCATTGAATGGTATAAGATCATCCTTCCACATTCTAGTCGTGACCTATGGAAGTTCCCTTTCCTGCTCTGGAACCAGAAGAGGGCCCCGTATTTCAGTGATGTTTGGATCTATGGTCCTGAGGTTTTTTGTTTGTTTGTTTTGTTTTTAAGCCCATGTTGGTTTGCTTAGGACACATTTGTTTGACTCTGTGTGACCTTATATGAACATACAGACTATATTCTTGGCAGGGGCCCCAGAAAGCAACTATTTTACTAATGATCCCGTGTGTTACTTCTGCAGCCTTTTAAAGGTACATTTGTACTTTTTGTAATTATGTTAATATGTGTATGAGTACAGGGGAGGCCCTGTGACTAGTTCCTGCTGTCCCTGTGAGATTAGCGTTCACAGACTAGCGTCAGATCTAGTGGTTAGAAAAGATGGTATTTTGTTGACAGGGCTTGAGAAGGATTTGTTTTCAGCTAAGGCAAGAGCCTGCAATGGGGATTCCTTAGGTGCTTAAAGCCAGCCTTGGGATTCACCTGGCTCAGCCATCCACTAGTTTCCTCTTTTCTCAGATTCAGTATTTCATGCCCAGAATATAACTCTTGACACCCGCTTGAGCCATACCTCTGTCTCCTTAAGCCTGTGTACTGGACTCCAGGAAAACCCCAAAGCGGCCATAAAGTGGTGATATCATGGAATGTTGCAATCTCTGGCTTCTCTGCGTTGGGAGTACGACCCCCATTCAGGCTATTTGGTCTCATTGGGTCTTCTGCCTAATAAGTCCTTGTAGCAGTGTAACTAGGTCTAGGGTCAGGTAAAATATGCTTAGGATTAAGACTCTTGAGGTCCCCAAGATGGCCTCATCCTCCCGGTCCTGACTACTAAGGCTGCATTGTGAAGGACAGGCTATTGCCTCTTGTTGCCATAGGAGTCTTCTTTTCAGGCAAAGGAAATGGGGACAGATGGTCCCTGCCTAATCCCAGGGGTTGGCAGGGTCCTCCACTGATTAGGCTATAGGTTTATCTGTGCTATTACTTGATCCCTTTTGTTGCGGGGTGGGGGGGAGCATACCTCTTCTGTGTTCAAAGCAGGCCAGGTGGAGGAGGAGACGGGTCTCAAGCAGTTGGCTGAGGGCTGCTGGGCCACCCCAAGAGAAACAGAGGTGACCGCAGTGGTGAAGCGGATGTAGGGAGGACTGGTTGGAGGCTCCAGGCAGGGAGGACTTAATGAGGAATCTGGAGCAGGAAGGATGGAGTAGCTGGGTCAGTTTGCTGGAAGAATCTTGAGCCCAGCACTCACCACCCAGTCTCTGAGTGGTTTCCCTGTCTACTCCTTGGGTTTGCTTTTTGTCTCTACCCTTAGAGGTTTGTGAAGGTGACAGTTTATGACAATCTGAAGATGACATGAGCCCCCTGCAGGGCCTGGTAGGGTGAACCTTTGTGCGTGGACACCTTATTTGTGGACACTGGTTCTGTGTAGCATGACTGTGCCTGATAGGTAAGGAAAGCAAATTTATATGACCACATAACGTCATTTGCCACATAGAGTTCTGTGTCCACAGCCTGGTGAGACAAAATGTGGCGATGCCGTCTCACTGGAGCTGGTATTACACCCTGTATCAAAAGACGCTCCAGGAGAATCAAAGGTAGAACATGGGTAAAGAAAAGAGTCTAGAATGGGAGACAGCAGATCAAGGTGAAAGGAAGCTGTTTAGGAACATGTCAGGGTATGTGTAGGGTTCTAGCTGTCTTGCTGTACAGGACAGAGTTGAGGAGTCACCATCAAGACAACTTCAAGGGCTTAGACCATTATCCAAGGCCTTACATTTGCTACCTTTGTTCTAAGAGAATGAATGAATGTTTGCAAATTTGAGGTAGGGAAAGAAACCCAAGGGTAAGCAGGTTTTGGAAATCGGAGATTTAGTTTTAAAGTAGTTGAATTTGATAAGAAGGATCATTAGAACATTAAGTGGTTGAAACACAGGTTTTAAAAAAGATTGCAGGAGGAAGTGACAAGAAAATCTCTTACCTAACACCTATAAGGAAGGAAAGCAGGCACTTACCTACCCTCAGATACGAAGAAGTCATAAGAAAATGCTAAGCTGTATTGGGTGAGTGTTTTGGTATGAGGATCCTGAATGTAGATGGTGCCCCAAAAAGGAATGGGTGCTGCCATTGTAGGTGGTAGGTGTGCGGCTGTCCCTGTAGCTGTGGTGTTTTATTATCCATTTGTCCTCCAATAGGTCTCAAACTTGACCCCGGGTAGATAAGTATGAGATTCCATATTGGCCATTACACATGTATACTTGCCCTTCAACAAAGAAGTGCATTTTATAAAAGGTATAGTGAACGAATAGAAGCCAAAACTGCTGGGCCCATAGTGACCTGTCTATGTAACTCTGTTCTCCTAGGACTCAGATTGCAATGTGAGAGACAGGCAGTATGCGAATATAAAGTAGTATGACGTAGGTGTGTGGGAGAGAATGCGGGGAATGTGCACCTTGAGAGACCACATCAGAGTCCAGCCCTGTAAGAAGTGAGAAATGTACCTGTCGGGTAAGCTGGATTAGGTAGGGAGACTGGTGATGTTGATGGTGTTAGCTGTGGTCACAGACCGATTTTTTTGTTTGTTTGTTTTTGAATTGCTCAAAATTGTATTTAGAAATAAAAATGCATCCTTTTTATGGTTTTGCCAAGGACATTGCTAGTACTGGGTTTGGGTGGTGTTTTTAGCTGTATTTTATGTATGGCAGTGTTTTTTTTTTAACTTTTTTTTATTACGTTAATTTTAAATAGCTAGCTTCACATGTCAATCCCAGTTCCGTCTCCCTCCCCTCCTCCCGCACCCCCCCCCATTTCCCCCAGCCACCCACCCTATCCCCACTTCCTTCTACATAGGGGGTATCCAGAGTCTGTCACTTTGCTCAGGGCAGGGTTCAGGCACTCCCCTAAGAGTCCAGGCTGAGAGAGCATCCCTCTTTGTGTTAAGGACACATGAAGTCTGTATGCCAGGGATAAACACTGATCTACTGCCCAGGGCCCCATAGGTTGCCCAGGCCTCCTCACTGACTCTCATACTCAGGGGGTCTGGATCAGTCCCATGCTGGCCTTCCAGCTGTCGGTCTGGGGTCCAAGAGCTCTTCCCTGTTCAGATCAGCTGTCTCTGCTGGTTTTGCCAGCCCATTCTTTGCCAATTTGCTCATCGCTCCTCTCTCTCTGTCACTGGGTTCCATGGGTTCAGTTCAGTGATTAACTGTGGGTATTTGCCTCTGCTTCCATCAGTCACTGGATGAAGGTTCTAGGATGGCATATAGGGTAGACGTCAAGTTCATTATCAGGAATGGGCATTTCAGGTGGTCTCTCCACTATTGCTTAGCTTGCCAGTTGGTGTCATCCCTTTAGATCACTAGAGGTCTCACTGGTGCCAGATCTCTCTTCTAACCTATGACTCCCTCTATTATGGTATTTCTCATCCTGTTCTCCTCCTATTCTAGCCCCCACTCAACCTTCCTGTTCTCCCATGACCTACTCTCTCTTCCTCTTCTCCCCCCCCCTCTTCTTCCCAGCTCCCACTCCCCCAACCCCTCGCCTTGTTCCCCATCTGTTCAGAAGACCTTGCCTCATTCCTCTTCTCTGGGGTACCATGCATATCTCTCTTAGGTTCTTTCCTGTTTCCCAGACTCTCTGTCAGTGGAAGTGCAGACTGGCACTATCCTGATCCATGTCTAAAATCTATATATGAGTGAGTACATACCATGTTTATCTTTTTGTGACTGGGTTACCTCACTCAGGATGGTTTCTTCTAGGAACATCCATTTACCTGCGAATTTCAGGATTCCATTGTTTTTTTTTTCTGCTGAGTAATACTCCATTGTGTAAATGTACCACATTTTCTCTATCCACTCTTCAGTTGAGGGGCATCTAGGTTGCTTCCAGGTTCTGGCTATTACAAATAATGCTGCTATGAACATAGTGGAACAGACATCCTTGTTGTATGAATGGGCATTTTTTGGGTATATGCCTAAGAGTGGAATTGCTGGGTCTTGTGGTAGATTGATTCCCATTTTCCTGAGGAATCTCGATACTGATTTCCAGAGTGGGTGTATGAGTTGGCACTCCCACCAGCAGTGGAGGAGTGCTCCCCTCTCTCCACATCCTCTCCAGCATAAATTGTCTTCAGTGTTTTTGATTAGCCATTCTGACAGGAATAAGATGGTATATAAGAGTTGATTTTATTTGCATTTCCCTGATGGCTAAGGATGTTGAGCACTTTTTCAAGTGCCTCTCAGCCATTTTAGACTCCCCTATTGAGAATTCTCTATTTAGTTCTGTAGTCCACTTTTTAATTGGATCCTTTGGTGTTTTGGAGACTTGCTTCTTGAGTTCTTTGTAAATTTAGGAGCTCAACCCTCTGTCAGATGTGGGGTTAGTGAATATCTTTTCCCATTCTGTGGACTGCCTTTTTGTCTTGTTGACTGTGTCCTTACAGAAGCTTCTTAGTTTCAGGAGGTCCCATTTGTTAATTGTTGATCTCAGTGTCTGTACTACTGGTGTTATGTTCAGGAAGTGGTCTCCTGTACCAATTTGTTGAAGAGTATCTCCCACTTTCTCTTCTAAGAGTTTCAGTGTGGTTGGATTTATGTTGAGATCTTTGATCCATTTGGACTTAAGTTTTGTGCAAGGCGATAGACATGGGTCTATCTGCAGTCTTATGCATGCCAGCATGCAGTTATTCCAGCACCATTTGTTGAAGATGCTTCCTTTTTTCCATTGTATAATTTTAGTTTCTTTGTCAAAGATCAGGTGTTCAAAGGTGTGTGGGTTGATATCAAGGTCTTTGAGTCAATTTATTGGACTACCTGTCTGCTTTTGTGCCAATACCAAGCTGTTTTCAGGACTATAGCTCCATAATAGAGCTTGAAGTCATGTATGGTGATGCCTCCTGAAGTTCCTTTATTGTACAGGGTTGTTTTGGCTATCCTGGGTCTTTTGTTTTTCCATATAAAGTTGATTATTGTTCTTTCAAGGTCTGTGAAGAATTGTGCCGGAATTTTGATAGGGATTGCGTTGAATCTGTAGACTGCTTTTGACAAGATTGCCATTTTTATTTTGTTGATCCTACCAATCCAAGAGCATGGGAGATCTTTCCATTTTCTGGTATCCTCTTTGATTTCTTTCTTTAGTGACTCAAAGTTCTTGATATACAGGTCTTTCACTTATTTTGTTAACATTATCCCCAGATATTTGATGCTGTTTATGGTTATTGTAAAGGGTGATGTTTCTTTGATTTCTTTCTCAGCCAGTTTATCATCTGTATATATTAGGGCTACTGATTTTTTTTGAGTTAATCTTGTATCCTGCCACTTTGCTGAAGGTGTTTGTCAGCTCTAGGAGTTCCCTTGCAGAGTTTTTTGGGTCACTTAATGTTTATCTGTTCTTGATTGAGTTTTAGTAAGTGATATCTATCCAGGAAATTGTCCGTTTCCTTTAAATTTTCGAATTTTGTGGAGTACATATTTTCAAAGTATGCCCTGATGATTCTCTGGATTTCCTTAGTGTCCGTTGTTATGTCCCCCTTTCCATTTCTGATTTTGTTAATTAGCATGCTCTCTCTCTGTCTTTTGGTTAGTTTGGACAAAGGTTTGTCTATTTTGTTGATTTTCTCAAAGAACCAACTCTTTGTTTCATTGATTCTTTGCAATGTTTTCCTGTTTTCTACTTGATTGATTTCAGCCATCAATTTGATTATTTCCTAGCATCTGCTCCTCCTGGGTGCGTTTGCTTCTTTTTGTTCTAGAGCATTCAGCTGTGCTATTAATTCTCTAGTGTGACTGTTTTCCAGTTTCTTCATGTGGGCACTTAGTGCTCTTAGTGCTATGAACTTTCCTCTCAGCACTGCTTTCAAAGTGTCCCATAGGTTTGGGTATGTTGTGTCTTCATTCTCATTGAATTCCAGGAAGTCTTTAATTTCTTTTTTTTTTATTTCTTCCTTTACCCAGGGATGGTGCAATTGTGCATTGTTCAGTTTCCATGAGTTTGTAGGGCTTCTGTGATTTGTGTTATTGTTGAATTCTAATTTTAATGCATGGTGGTCTGATAAGATACAGGGAGTTATTCCATTTTTTTTGTATCTATGGAGGTTTGCTATGTTTCCTATTATGTGGTCAATTTTAGAGAATGTTCCATGTGGCACCGAGAAGAAGGTATATCCCTTAGTGTTTCAGTGGAATGTTCTATAGATGTCTGCTAAACCCAGTTGGGTCATAACTTCTATTAGTTCTTTTGTTTCTTTGTTAAGTTTCTGTCTGGAGGTCCTGTCTAATGGAGAGAGTGGATTGGTGAAGTCTTCTACTACTAGTGTGTGAGATTTTATGTGCAATTTGAGCTTTAGTGATGTTTCTTTCACGAATGTAGGTGCTTTTGTATTTGGGGCATAGATGTTCAAAATTGAGACTTCATCTTGATGGACTTTTCCTTTGATGAATATGAAATGTCCTTCATCTCTTTTGATTGATTTTAATTTGAAGTCTAATTTGTTAGATATTAGGATTGCTACACCCACGTGTTTCTTGGGTCCGTTTGATTGGAAAAATTTTTCCCAACCCTTTACTCTGAGGTAATGTCTGTCTTTGACGTTGAGATGTGTTTCTTGTATGCAGGTTCTGTCTTCGTATCCATTTTGCTAGTCTGTGTCTTTTTTATAGGCAAGTTGAGACCGTTGACATTGAGAGATATTAATGACCATTGATTGATGATTCTTGTTTGTGCTTGATTTATTGGTAGTGGAGTTATTGTGTGTAGGTTCTCCTCCCTTTTTCTTTTGGTGTTTGGTAAAGTGGGATTATCTATTGGTATTGCAGTGTTTTGTCTTCATGTATGTGGCACACGTGCCTGGTGCCCTCAGGTCAGAGGAGGGCATCAGATGCCCTGGAACTGTGATAGTGGATGGTTATGAGCCACTATTTAGGTTCTGGGAATCCAGTCTGGGTACTCTACAAGAGCAACAAGTGCTTTTAAATACTGAGCCATCTCCAGTACTGAGTTTTAGTTGTTTTAATGGGAAGAACAATGCAGCACCTAGGTCTTTCTTGTTTTGGGGAACTAAAGTCCCAATAATACATACTTAGATATTAAATTGACATTGTATTTTGGGGATAAATCCAATCTATTGTGATGTGACCTGTATCATATATGCAATATACATAGTAAGAATGAATTTACTGATATCGTATGGTATATTCATCCAGGTTTATAATTGAGATTTTCCTGAAAGTTTTCATCTTATCCATGACTTAAATAAATTCTATTATTATCATCTTATATACATTTTTCCTTCCTGATTTTTCTTTTAGTTTTTATGCCTATAAGTAAAAATCTAGAATTCTTTTGACAGTGGTGAGCAGATTGCTTAGAAGTAATTCTGCATGAGGTTTGTGTGTTGTGGGTACATGGTTGTACTTAGACAGCCTCCTTTATTGTCCTGTGCCTGAGTGTACCATGACTGGGGTCTCACTGTTGATGTCCTCTGCTTTTCCTCAGGTTCTGGTATTACTGTGCTCTTCTGGGTACCTTGTTATCCTTTCCATCTCTGCTGAGTTCTTGGCTAGACACAGTTGTGTTTCTGTGGAGGCCTGGGAAGATGCTGCCTTTGGAGAGGGCACTGGCCTCCCCTAGAAGCTCCCCACCCCACCCAGAACCACCTACATTTCAATCACAAGATAGATTCCAGAAGGAAGAGCCTAGCCAGCAGGATGAATCCATCCAGGAAGAAGAACCCATCCAGCTGCTAGAACCTAGTCTGAAGGATGAGCCCAACCAGGGAGAAGAATCTATTCAACAGGACAATCTTCCCAACCAGAGGGAAGAACTCAGTGAGCAGCAAGAACCCGGCCAGTGGGAAGGACCTGGCCAGGAGGATGTACCCATGCAGCAGGAAGAACCTATGCAGCAGGATGAGCCTTGCCAGTGGGAAGAACCCATGCAGCAGGACAAACCCATCCACCAGGAAGAACTCATCCCACAGGAGGAACCTATCCAAGGGGAACCTATCCAACAAGAAAAACCCATCCAGCAGGAGGAGCCTATCCAACAAGAAGAACCCATCCAGCAAGAGGAACCTATCCAACAAGAAAAACCCATCCAGCAGGAGGAGCCTATCCAACAAGAAGAATCCATCCAGCAAGAGGAACCTATCCAACAAGAAAAACCCATCCAGCAGGAGGAGCCTATCCAACAAGAAGAACCCATCCAGCAAGAGGAATCTATCCAACAAGAACCCATCCAGCAGGAGGAACCTATCCAACAAGAAGAACCCATCCAGCAAGAGGAATCTATCCAACAAGAAGAACCCATCCAGCAGGAGGAGCTTATCCAACAAGAAGAACCCATCCAGCAGAAGGAACCTATCCAACAAGAAGAACCCATCCAGCAGGAGGAGCCTATCCAACAAGAAGAACCCATCCAGCAGGAGGAGCCTATCCAACAAGAAGAACCCATCCAGCAGGAGGAGCTTATCCAACAAGAGGAACTCATCCAGCAGGAGGAACCTACCCAACAAGAACTCATCCAGCAGGAGGATCCCATTCAACAGGATGCCTCCATCCTACAGGAGGTCATCCAGAAGGAGGAGCCCATTCAGCAGGATGCTTCTATCCAACAGGAACTCATTCAGCCCGAAGAGCCGATTCAGGAGGAACTGACCCTGAAGGAGGATTCCATTCAGCAGGATAAGTCCATCCAAAAGGAAGGATTCATCCAGCAGGAGGAGACCATTCATAAGGATGCTTCCATTCATCAGGATGCTTCCATTCAACAGGAACTCATCCAGCAGGAGGAATCCATTCAGCAGGATATGTTGATCCAAAAGGTAGATTTCATTCAGCAAGAGAAACCCGTCCAGCAGGTAGGGCCCAGCCCGCAGGAGAAACCCAGCCAGCAGGAGGAAGCCAACCAGCAGGCAGAACCTAGTCAATCGGAAGAGCCTAGCCAAAAGGGTCTACCCAACCAACAGGATGAATCCAACCAACAGGAAGAGCCTAGCCCGCAGGAAACAGAAACCATCACGGAGAGATCTGCTGCTGACCTTACGGAGAGATCTGCTGCTGACCTTGAGTTTTCCCGCCTGCGCTTTCGGGAGTATGTCTACCAGGAGGCAGCTGGGCCTCACCAGACTCTGGCCAGGCTTCATGAGCTATGCCGCCAGTGGCTGCGGCCTGAGGCTTGCTCCAAAGAGCAGATCCTGGAGCTGCTGGTTCTGGAGCAGTTCCTGGGCATTTTGCCAGACAGGTTTCGTCCCTGGGTGGTAGCCCAGTATCCTGAAAACTGCAAGAAGGCTGCCTCCCTGGTGGAGGGTCTCTCTGACATCCTGGAGGAGCCAGGTGAGGCTGCCACCCCAGAAGAAAGCATGCCTTAGAGGAGACGGGCAGGAGGTCCTGGAAGGATTGGAATCGGCAACATATAGAGTTCAGACCCCAGCCGTGGCTTTCCTGAGAGTGTAGTCACCCCATGTGTTAAGGGGCGCAGAAACAACCATCCCTGAGCTGGTAAGGGAGCTCCTCAGTCACCAGGGATCCGCGCCCCCATCTCTCTGCCCAGTGGCATCTCCATCATGGACTAGGACAGCAGCCTTGGGTTTCTGCCCTCACATTTGCTTTCCAGATGTTAGGAAGGAGGACAAATGGAGGGCAATCAAAGGCAGGTACCGGGCTCTTAAAAACTAGGTAAATATTTTGGGTGCATTTGTAGCTGGAGGTTTCCTCCATGTATAAGGGTGGGGCCTGACAGGTGGGTGTCGATGGTGTCTGGGAGCCTAGGGGCTTGGGTCATACCTTGGGTCCATACCTGACCCATTGTGGATTTGCTGTGTGGCTGTTAGCATGTGTCTCAACCTATTGGTGTCACCATTGCCTCGATTGTATGCAGGAACGATGTTGTGTTCCCCGGGTGGGTCATCATCTTCATTCAGCGAGGGAGACTATAAGAGGTGTCCTGAGCCCCTGCTGCCACCACGTGGGTTATTGAGTCCCAGCAGAAACCTAAGACCTAGGGACATCCTTGTACGCCGTGATACTTGTAAGTAGCAGCAGTCCGTTAGCCCCGGCTGGCCTTCATTGAGGAGATGGATAGGGGTCTGTAGTTGGGCAAGGGAGGGTGTGGTAGAGGCAGCTTGAAAGCCAGGGGGAGGTCAGGTAGCAAGGCAGTGATGTCTACTGTATTTGACACTTGTTTCTGTAGATCATCGTGTATGCTAGATGTGTTAGTTAGTTTTGCTCAGTTTGTGTTGCAAATTTTGTCAGCCTCATGGTTATCAACCAAGAATTAATTTCATTGTAGATGTGATTCAGTGCTGGCATAGGAGGGTTCCCATTAGCAGCATGAGGCTCTGAGTTAAAATCTCAGTACTGCCAAAATTTGTTTTTCTCCTTAGCCCATCCGGGAAGATGTCCTTTCAAGTCTTTTCCACATCATGTCTGTAAGACCATGGTGTACTTGTGCCCTCTCATTTGCTACTTAAACAGGGCAGCTGTGGTAAATGTTTTTAGCTCCTCAGCTGCTCAGCATTCCATATATTCAGCCTTTCCATTTTGCTTTTTAAAAATGGGCTATGGTATCATGGCCTTATTGTGGGTACTCTAGCGTGCGTGGCATGGTTTTCTTTCCTTTTTTTTTTTTTCGAGACAGGGTTTCTTTATATTGTCTTGGAGGCTGTCCTGGAACTTGCTTTGTAGACCAGGCTGGCCTCGAACTCACAGAGATCCACCTGCCTCTGCCTCCCGAGTGCGGGGATTAAAGGCGTGCACCACCAATGCCCGGCACGTGGCATGGTTTTCTAACAACCACTGGATAGAGGGCACGTACACTTTAACATTCATGTGATTATCCAAAACCTTTGCGATACATTTAAAGCTAGCCTAGGAGATGCCTACTTGCCTTGTGTGCCGTGATCTGAATTGGCATTTCTAGGGTCACTAATGAACTTCAATGTCGTTGTTTCTCTTCAAGACAGGGTTTCTCTGTGTAGCCCCGGCCACCCTGGCATTCACTTTGTAGACAGGGCTGGCCTCAAACTCAAGAGATCTTCCTGCCTTTGCCTTCCAAGCGCTGGGATTAAAGGCATCCAGCACCACTACCCGGCTGTCTCCATGTTTCTGATTGTGTCCACCTTGCTTTGTCAGTTGGGAATAAATGCAGTGTTTATTAAGCTTTGGGACCTGTGACATGTACAGGAGGAAGCCTTTCTATATTTGTCCTGGGGTGGTGTGTGGGAGGCAGTGGGATAGGCTTATTTTGGAGTTACAGGGACACTGAAAACTTGTCTCTTCAGCTCCCCTTCTTCCAGCCTGGCCTACTCTGGAATCTGTGCATCTGCATGAAGAACATACGGGAGAAAAGAATGAAGAGGCTATCTCTGCCACAGCTGAGCCAAAGGTGGGTCAAGGAGTCCCTGCTGGCCCTGGGAAGCTGATCTTTCCCTTCTGACTGTGTTCTTCTCTCAGTAGTAATTCTCTGTCACAGCAAAGGATTATGGACCCAAACATCTCTAATGCTGCGGCTAAGAATGCTGCCCTTGTGTAAACTCAAGGGTAGAACCCAAGGAAGGGCGTTGCTTCAGAGTAACTTGGGGTAGGTTAGAGCTGCTGTTTCAGAAACCATTGTTGTTTCCACAGGAGCCTCTACAGTCAGAATGGGAACACCTGGACCCCACAGAGGATAACCTGACCAGTTACGGCAAGCTGCTCCTGTGGGGTGAGACCCACCTCCCCAGGCTCACATTCCACCTTGCATCCTCTTCCAGAACTGTTGGCATGGAAGATTCTGACCCTGTCCCAGGACCTGTAGTTGGGACACCAAGGGTGATTTAAGTGTTTGGAGCTGAACATGCTTTAAGAGTCTTCGAACTAGGATTTGTTTGCCAAGTTCTCCACTTGTCCTGGCCTACACTTTCGAGTTTGTCTCAGCTCTGGGGCTTTGCAGCCTTGTTCCTGTGAGAACGGAAGTGTCTGGAACTGGAAAGGCTGCCTGGCTCCAACCCTTTAGCACCCCTATCTTGGTACAGAGCTGGGCCCTCGAACGACCTTGCGAGGCTCATATCTAGACCATTCCTGAAGTCTTCTCTGAGTTCTGATTCTGAATTGTAGCTCTATTGGCAGTGGGGACTGATCCAAGATCTCACAAACACTTGGCATATGCCCTGCTACTGAGCCCATTTTATGCTATGTCTTCAGCTTTGCTCCTGTCTGGACAGTCCCTGTTTCCTACCTGCTCATAGGCAGCCTCCAGATCTTCCTCTTTGCCTCTGCTGCCTTTGTTAGAAACCTCAGCTTTCTAGGGGCTCTGGCTAGAGGGCAGCTTTGGTGGTGGTGGTGGGTCGGGGATGGACGGAGGGGATTGCCTTTATGCAGAGAAAAAGGTGGTTGCAATCTGGGTCCCAGAGACCCAGCAGGACACGAAGCCTCTTAGCCTTTTTTTTTTGTGCTTCCTTTGCTTTTCTTCTCTCTAAACCTCAGGGTGTCAGTGTTTCCAGGCTGGCCCATCCTCTACTCTGGACACAGAGGAACCAGAGGGACCCCGTGTGGCAGAAGAACTGCCAGGAGGAAGCCTCTCAGGTGAGACTGAGTTAGGTGGTGACAGATAGGGGTCTGGTTGGGCCATAAAGGGAACACAAAACCTGTGATGGCACTCGTCACACGTCCATTAGCCTCAGCAGAGACTCTAGCTTTGACTTCATTTTCCTATCTGCTGTGTGGGGGACAAAATGTCATTTTGTTATTTCTTGCTGCATAATGAATGCCTCTAAAACATGTCACCCAAAAGACGACACACTTGTGATCTGTCAGCTGACTGAATTCAACTCTGTAGCCCCTCTACTCCTTTTTTCTTTTTGTGGTTCTGAGGGCCACACACAAAACCACCGTCATCCAGGGGCCTGTCTAGGGCTCAGATGTCCCAGTGGTCTCCCACACACTTCCTGGATGACACTGGCTCTCTGGAGCTGGGTTGAGGCTGTGGACCTCAGTTTTTCTTGGGCTGGCTTTGGCTTCCTCACAGATGCTGTTGGGTTGCATGGGGAGAATCCCAGAGGGTAAGCACATACCACACCTCTGCATGTTTCGTCTGCATGCAACTGTTCCATTGACCACGGTTGACTGCAGGGCCAAGACAGAGACTGTGGTGGTTCACCGAGGGCTATGGGTATAACTGAATGACGTATCAAGGCTCGTTTGGTCCTTCCCGGTGACAGACATGTCCCCTGAATCCTCATAGTTCTTTGCCCCCTCCACTGCCAAGTTACCTCAGTCAGAAAGGCTGCTTCATATCTGAATGCACTACAGTGGGAAGGAGGCTCCTCCTCACCAGTGGAGTCTCTGACCAGAACAGAGTCATATGGTCACCTTAACCTCCAAACACCCTGCAAGTGATGGCCAGCTGTGAGTTCAGCAGACATTCAGGCTTAAAGAAGGGCATGTAGACATCCTAGAATATTCCTCCAGTGACTGATGGAAGCAGAGACAGATACCCGCAGCTAAATACTGAACTGAACTCCTGGAACCTAGTGACAGAGATGGAGGAGTGATGAGCAAAGGGGTCAAGACCATGATGATGAAACCCACAAAGACAGCTGACCGGATAAGGGGGAGCTCTTGAATCCCAGACTGATGGCTGAGAGGCCAACAGGGGACTGATCCAGACTCCATGAATGTAGTGCCAATGAGGAGGCCACAGAAATCACTGGGGCCTTGGGTAGTAGATCAGTGTTTATCATGGTGTATGAATGATCTTTGGGAGCCCATTCCACATGGAGGGATGCTCTCTCAGTCTGGACACATGGAGAAGGGCCTAGGTCTTTCCCTGGGTGAAATTACAGACTTTGGAGATCCCCCCAAGGAGGGCCTCACCCTCCCTGGGGAATGATGTGGGGATTGGGTGGGGGGCTGGGAGACTGGTGGAGGAACAAGGGAGGAGGGGTGGGAGAGGGAGCTGGGATTGACATGTGAAACATTCATGTTTCTAATTTAAATAAAAACATATATTGAGGGAAAAAAAGGCATGCAGATTGGGAGGGGCAGGAGCAGAGATAATGGGTCTTGTGAGGCTTGAGACGCTGCCCTCAGCTGCTGTGTGATGGCTGAGTTGTAAAGAGGGTTAGGCTCTGCGTGTCGTTTTCTTAATCTGACGCCCTTTCCCCTGTGCTCAGGCCCTTGGGCCACACACTTTATTTTCTTGCTCTCTGCTCAAGTCAGTTTCTGTCTCAGCCTGGGAAGTAGGACTGCTCACACTGTGTTTGTTTCAGACAGCACCGGGCAGCGGGAAAGCAAAGGAAATGTGTGTGAGGACATCTCCATGGGGGAAACACTGACGGAGAGGCTTCCAGGGGATGTTCCCGTTAGCCCTTCAGTAGATACTGCCAAGGAGGAGGAGATACAGCAACCTCAGAAGGCTCTGGATGCTGAGGATGAGGATGCAAATCCCGCCAGTCCCCAGAGGCAATCATCTATCCGGCAGTCAGCCCAGGACACGGGTACCCCACATCCAGGCACTGGGACAAAGAGGCCTCATCCAGATGATGAGGACGAAGAGGACCCTGAGTGTTCTTCCAGCGCCGGCAGCTACAAGCTGCCATTTGATGCAGGGAAGGTGCTGCGTGTGGATGACCATGATTCTGGGAAGGACCCAGGGACTTCTGATGCCGGATGCCCCTTAGCTGAGGAGTGTGATGTAGCCCAAGGGAAACCTTACACATGTGGTGAATGTGGGGAGGCCTTTGCATGGATCTGGAACCTCATGGAACATCACAAGAGCCATAACACTAAGACAGGCTATGTGAGCCAGGACTGCTAGGAACCCCTTTCAGTTCAGCTTGGCTGTCGGTCAAGCACAAGAGTCCCATAAAAAAAAAAAAAAAAACAAAGCTACGCCCAGAGCTCCTCTGCCACAAGCAGAGCTCACTGGCGAGAGGATTGACAGCTGCTAGTGTATTTGGGTGGTTTTCCCTGTATAACCTGAGGTGTAAGGATGAGCAACTCTGCTGTGAGTATCTCGTGACGTGACAGTTGTAGCATGAGTGTTCTTAAGGCTCGTGTGGTGGCAGCTTCCTGTGGTATCTGTGGGCACATCTGTGTTTACTTTCTGGATGCTAATGTGCTGAAAGCAACTGAAGAAGGGCATGGCCCATAGGAAGCCGTCATCTTAGAAACACACCTTGGGTTAATGGCCTATCCTGTAGGCCCTCGGATGTAAGGGAAAACCCCTTTTATGTAGTGTTCTAATACAGCACATACTCTGGTCATGTGACATTGTACAAAGTGTTGAGTTGCCTTAAAGTATGCGATCTGTTGGCGCTTTCCTGAGCTTTCCTTGCCTCCGTTGCTTTTCCTGGAAACCCTGTTCACACATAATTCCTGCCATCTATTTGGCCTTTTTGTAAATATGTGCTGCCAGGTTTACTACTGAATCCTCAAGAGCAAAAACTTCTGAGTTCAAGTCACATGTCTTTTAATGTATGGAGTTGTTTGCAAAGATCATAATGCTTATTTTAGGCTGTGGCTTTCAGCCCATTAGTGAATTGTGAAATCCAGTTAGTGGATGGCCACTGGCATTACAAAGTAATGAATTAGAATAAAGTAGGCCAGAATGAATCATGTTTTAAAGGCAAGTATTTTGTGAGACTTCTCAGCTGTGTATCTAATATCAGAGCTGTCTCCCATGTTAAATGTATTTATTACGGGGTATGATCAAACCAGGTTTAAAAATACCAACAAAGGTCAAAGAAATGCTCTGTGTCTGAGCTAAGAGAACCAAATGTGACCTACATAGGTGATCTTATGGTTTTGCGCTAACTTCAGATTACAGCATTGTTTCTGTTGCCTTACCATACATTTAATTGCCCTGCAGATACAGAAAGGTGCCTCTTTCTGTAAGTGTTTGAGGAGGTAATTTATGTAACCCCCAAATCAGAGGCTTACCATAATAAAGTATTTATTTCTTCATTCATATCATAGCTTATTGTTTTGTGATTGTGCAGCTGCTTCTTGGAGTGTTAGTGACAGGGACCTTCTCCTCCCTGCAGCGAGTCTGAGATCCAGATACCATCCCTGCTGTGGCTCTCTTTCTATGGGACTCCTAGAACATGTGGAGAAGTCTGTTCCCTTTACCTGGGAGAAAACTCAAATCACTTTCACTCACCAAGCCTTAGAACAATGGTTCTCAGCCTGGGGTTATAACACCTTTGGGGGGTCACATACCAGATACCCTTTCCATATATTTATATTACAGTTGATAATACTAGGAAAATTACAGTTATGAACTAGCAACAAAATAATTGCATGGTTGGGGGGGTCACCACAACATGAGGAACTTCATTAAAGGGTCGCAGTGTTAGGAAGGTTGGGAACCACTGCCTCAGGGAGAACGGATCAGATGGCCTCTTCACTTGTAAGGATCCTGGCACTGCCTGTTTCGCTCTGCCAAGCTGAGCTAAACTTTGTTCCGCTGAAAAAGCCTAAATGTGTTTTCCTGACTCCATTGCAAGGACAGACCTGTCAGCCAGTTTTCTCCTACTGTCAGTGAGAGATTTTCCTGTGTTATATGTATCGTAGTAGCCAATCTCTTCAGTTTCTTTTGTATAAGTGAGTCAGTGGGAGGCCTGTGTTCCTATTTTAAAGTTGAGCTTCCGGGAAAGGAACTTCTTACCCTAGACCTGCTGTGACTAACACTACCCAATGTGCCCATACTTCCTCCTCTGTCCTGAGGGTGTTTAATGCTCACGTGCTTCCTTTCGTGATACCCAATTTGCTCACCTGTTTGGAGTGTCTAGGCAGTATGTATGGAGATACTTTGTGATAAAGTAAGCATCCTACTCTTAATCAAAATTCTAGCCCTGTATTCATCATTGATTGACAATTGGGTAAATCAAGTCCTTACCATGAAATTTACCAAGTGATTCTCCCCTCCGTGTTTATTGGTGGTTCCCAGCATTCTACAAGCTCACTCTCTTTTTGTTTACCTGTCTTCATTACTGGAATGGACCATGGATTTCTGAAGCCATATATATATTAACTAGCTTTAGGTCCAAGAGCCCACTGAGCCACGCAAACTGCTCTTTCCTTCATATCTATCTGTGGTCATCCAAGGAAGAAGCAGGGAAAGGATGAGTCATGTAACAAAGGAGGTCACTGTCATTTCTGAGACCTCTGGGGAGAGTGCGGTACCTGACAGCTTATGTATATTTGTGTTCTCATGAGAATACAATGGCTGAGTCTAGCACTGAGTGGGCTGACGTAAGGCTTGCCCACGTGGAGTAGGTGTGAGTTCTCTTGGTGTTTGGTAAGAGAAGAGCGGTGTGTGAAGGCTTTGCCACAGTCCCTGCAGGTGTATGGTTTCTCTCCTGTGGATGCTCTGGTGCTGACTAGGATGGGTCCCCAGACTGGAGGCCTTGCTACAAACCTGACACTCACGGGGCATTTCCCAAGTGTGTGTCCTTTCATACTGGCTGAGTGATGAGCTGTGGCTGAAGGATTTCCCACATTCACTGCACCCGTAAGGCTTTTCCTTGGTGTGAATCCTCTGGTGTTCTATAAGAAGGGAACTCTGGCTGAAGGCTCTACACTCACTACAGTCATAGAGCGTCTCTCCTGTGTGTGTCCTCTGAAGGATCTGCCCCATTCATTGCACTCATCCCCCCTTTTATGAATTGCTGATGTTTTGTTAGAGTTGAGGCAGGCGAACTTCTGAGTTTTGAGGCTAGCAAGTTCCAGGATGTCCAGGACTGCGGCTCTAGAACCAGGCTGGTGGGAAGGTTTCTCTCAAGGAAAAAGCTTCACTTTACACAATGGTGTCAGAAGTGGGATGATGAATTTCCACGTGGAACGACAAAAGCTTTAAAGGAATTTTAGAAACAAAAGGACAGAGAGAAGCACAGCTTTTTGGTAGCAGCATTTTTCTCAGGTGGGCTGTGTTTTGCTAGGGACAAGCCGAGATTCACGCGGCTCACTTACGGGAGTCTTCCTGACTCGGCATAAAAAGAAAAAAAAACTAGCAAGGTTCTTTTAAGAGACTCTGCTAACAATTAAAAAGTTGTACGTACAGCTGGAAGTGGCAGTGACCACATCTCCAAGCCGGCAGCTGGAGTCACGCTTACGCCCGCCATCTTGGAAAAAAACGTCAGTTTCAAACAGCTGTGGTTTTACAGATAAGACACGTGGCCAGAAAAACGTAAAGATTTACAGTAAAGTCAGACTTGGATGAACAAAACCTCTAAAGGTTTACAGTGTGTTTAAAGATATACGTGAGATTGAGAGAGAAAATGAAACGGCAAAGTGGTAAATAAATAAAAAAGCCGGCGTTGTGGTGGTGCACACTGGTAGGATTTACTCCAGAGGCAGAGGCAGGTGGATTTCCAAAGAGAAACCCTGTCTCAGAGAAAAATAAATAAAAGTAAAATAAATAAAGTAATAATAGATAAATAAATAAGCCACGCAAAGATGGAAAATACACAGAGAGTCTGGATACTGTACGCTATTGTGTTTTTCAGTTTTTTGATTGTTCAGGAAGGAACAGCTGCTAAAGTACACTTGATTATAAATGCTGCTAAATTAATCTAACTTCTATCTTTTGAAAATGCCTTGACTTCAAAATTTAAGTATAATGATATGTTACTTGGGAAAGGAGTTTTTATTTATGTTTCTACAGAAAATGAAAAGCTGAGGATTCCTTCCAGGCTTCTGTGGTTTGACGAACCAAGACCCCCAGAAGCAGTGGGCCAGGTGTTCCAACAATTGAAACAGCTAAGATGATGGAGCCTTACAGACCCGAAAATAAGGACTTATACAGGTTTCTGAGTTTTGTCATGATCCCCATGGTATGAACAACTCCCCCTTCTAGCATGAAGCAGTTTGGAATGAGCGACGTCCTAATTCCCATCTTGTTTATAAATCTTTGTTTTCATTTAAATGGGTTGTTTATAATTGGTTAATGATCACAGCCAATCTCTTTTTAATGGTAAAAAGGGGAATTATGGTATGGGTATTGGTTTTCATTTATTGATACAAATTCAAGGTCAATTTTGTGATGTGTATATTTCTCCTCTTGATTAAGTATTGTGCTTAAACTGATCTTTTAAAACATAATGCATAATTGAATACAGACTATAGATAGTTACTTATACTAGAACTTATAGTTAGGTAAGTTAGGTTTTCTAGATATACAGAAACATATTTGAGATAGATAAACAGTCTTCAAACCTCTTAAAGACCTTCAGAAAATGGCATTTAAAATGGTTTAGGGTTTTTCTTGACAATGAGAAATGTCTGCTCCTGGCAGCATCAATTACGTCTGAGAGGAAGATGGGCATCGAAGAAACTTGTTATGGAGTTTGCTTTCAACATGGCAAGATTAGCCATTTGGGCAAGAAACTGCTCTTGCCTGTACTGCTTGACTGTTGTTGTATAATCTGGACATGCAGGACCCACAGAAAAGTGACTGCTGAACTCAGTCTTACAGGGTTCCTGCTTCATGGAAGAGTCTACCAGACTTTCTGCAGGACACAGAAAAATGACTGACAGACTGCCAGCGCAGATGGACAGTTTGAAATTTCCTGCTTTGCTGAGAAGTGTTCCAGACACATTGTGGCCTATGGGCTGAAGATGGATGCCCCAATGTTACAGTGGAACTTCGGGTGACTGTCCAGGCAGTAAGATGTCTCTGTCAATCCTAGTGTTTATATATTATCCTTCTGTGGTCTTTGATAGAGTTGAAGGCAGATAGTTATAGTTATAGTTTTCCTTAGTTATGATAAAAGCTAAGGTACATAGAACTTTGTACTCACAAGGATGGGATGGATGATATTTTCTTTAAATCTTGCTAAAATATTGTAACTATGTTCTTACTTGATAACTGTTCTGTTATATACAATTTGACTATGTTAAAGTTAAGACCTTTCTTTTTGTTTAAACAGAAAAGAGGAGATGTTGGGGAAGTCCTGTTATTTGTCAATAATGCACTGCTGGCCAATAGGAATCTAGATATGTGGGACTAGGAGTCCAGGAGGACTCTGGGAAGGAGAAACACAAGAGAGTCGAGATGTAACACCATGGGGTAGGAAGCCCGGAAACTTCTCCAGTAAGAGACATACTTAGATTAACAATTATGGGGTAATTACTTAAGTCAGAGCTAGCTAGTAAGAAACAAGCAAGGCCAACAGCTTCATAATTAATATAGCCTCCTGTGTGTTTATTTGGGACTGATGCGGCTCTAGAACCAGGCTGGCGGGAAGGTTTCTCTCAAGGAAAAAGCTTCACTTTACACAGGGCTACAAAGAGAAACCCTGTCTCAAAAACAAAACAAAACAAAACAAAGAAAAACAACGAAAAAGGATTGACAGTCTGAGGCCAGCTTGGATTATATAGAAGACACCTCAAAATAACAGAAAAATTGAACTGTTTTGTGAACTAAGAAACAGGATCCCTACAGGGTAGAGATTCTGTTCATCTGGGTAATAATAGTAAGTTCTTGGTAGACATACTGTATGGGCTGATAAAGGATCACTGTTCAAACAATGAAACTACTCGTTTTCTTAGCACTTGCCAAAGTCTATAATTTTACGTTATTCTTTATGTATTGTGTGACCTCCCTGACCAAGCATTAATTCTGTGAAGATGGTAACTTAGCTTTACTTATATCAAAATGGGAGTATGGGGGTTTGGATACATCTCAGTGGTAGAGGACTTGCCTAGGATGTGTGTGGCCTATCCCCCATGTTATGTGTTAACAACTACATGTAACTCTAACTTCGGAGGATCTGATACCCTGTTCTTGAACTACACAGCATCTGTCACTATACATTCAAACAGATACACATACTTAAATACAACTGAAACACAGCCTAGGTTTTCTGCTAGGACAGTAAGTGCTCTTAACCACTGAGCCATCTCTTGAGTCACTCCTTTGTCCTTTTTGCCATATGATGGTGCAGCAAGGTGCCATCAATGGTGAAT